CCTCGCTCTCTCGCCCCCCCTCCCTGTGTTGTGTGTGTGTGTGTGTGTGTGTGTGTGTGTGTGTGTGTAATGTTTTCAATGCATAGCATTGGTTTGTGTGTGTTTAATTTATATAGGTGGTATTCTGTGCTTATTATTAAACTTGCTTTTTTTTCATTCCACAGATGTTTTTGAGAATCAAGCCATACTAGTAATACAACTAACTCCAGTGCATTCCCTGCAAGGCAGAATAGTAACCATTGTTTTATTTTAACTAGTTCCTATGGATGGACATTTGCACTGTTAACAGTTTGGGGCTGTTACAAATAATGCAGAAATGAATATCTTTGTACATGCCTCCCTGTGCGTCTGTACAAGAGCTTTTACCAAGGACCTACCTAGAAGCGAAATTTCCATAGCCCTTTAAGATTGTTATACATGTAATGAGTACTAGTGTTCCATACTATAAGAGGACAGTTATTACTGACGTTGAAATTGGGAGAACTTTTAAATATATTTCTTGATCTCCATAGACCCAATCTCTCAATTTTACAGAAATCAATGATCCTAAGGAAACATGTGCAGGTCCTCCTGACACATCCTACAAAAGTGAGCAGAAACAAAGCGGTGACAGCAGGTTGGACGGTTGCTTAGCACACCAAAGAAATGACAAGGAAGATCAAGGCCCCAGGTATGTGGGCGTGGTGCTGTCACTTACAGCACACAGTTACCAAGTAAGAGAGATGGTATAATCACCCCATTGTACAGGTAAGATAATGAGGCTCAGCCCTGGCCCATGTTGCTCAGTGGTTAGAACGTTGGCCCGTGCACTGAAGGGTCTCAGGTTAGATTCCTGGTCATGGGCACGTATCTGGGTTGCAGGTTTGATCCCTGGTCCCTGGCAGGGTGCATGCGGGTGACAACCAATTGATGTGTCTCTCTCACAGCGATTTCTCTCTCGCTGTCGCTCCTGCTCTCACTCTCTCTTCCTCCCTCACTCCCTACCTTCCTCCCTTCCTTCCACTCTCTCTAAAAAAAACCCAAAAAAACCCAAAAAAAAGTCAATGGGGAAAAAATATCCTTGGGTGAGGATTAGAAAAAGAAGAAAGAAAATGAGATTCATGGCGATTAAATAGCACAATGTCTGTAGTGGTGGAGACAGGATGGCCTGCCTCTGTGGCACAACTAACCACAATCTATCAAACTTTAATGCCAGACCTGGAGAGAGAAACATCAGTAGTTACGGATGACACGATATTAAAAGTATTTTTATTAGAGCACATGTTTCAACTTTTAAGACTGCTGAAAGTAATATTAGATGAGGCCTTGAAAGCTATACAAAAGAAAACCCCAAAGAACATAAAATAGCTATCAGGCATTCAGGATGTTGTGGATTTGGGGGAAGGAATGGATGTGATAAACAATTTTTGGAATATATTTCAGAGCTGATAAACTCAAATAAATTGCTTGTTCGTGTTTCCCATTTAACAGAATGACTAAACACTTCCTGCAGAAACTCTGCAAGCAACACAAGCTGTATATCACCCCAGCGTTGAATGATACGCTGTATTTACACTTTAAAGGTGAGGCTCTGGGAGAGGCAGAGAGACGCTGGTGGCATAACAATTACTTGCAGGGATCATCTGGGTTTCTCAAATTACATTTCAGTAGAAATTTCAGAGAGTTCAGTGGAGATTTAGGGAAAAGCAATAATATTTCTTTGAAGAAAAAGTCCTACCCTTAGCGTTTATAAAGGGGCCACTGGTTCTATGGATACAAAGGAAACACATGGATATCTTCTAAGTTTTCCAAAGACTTACTAATTTTTCAAGCCTGAAGCTAGTTGTAAATGCTTTGGGTTTGGGAGAGATATGTTGTGCAGGATCAAAGACTGGCACAGAAAACAAAGGGTGAGGGTCGGGGGTGCCTCTCAGAATGGAGACGTATAACTAGAGGCATCCCCAAGGGCTCAGGGCTGGTTCCAGTATCTTATATAAACTTAACTTTGGGCTCAGACAGGGGTATTCCTTGCATTGATCAAGAGTGATAACTCCCAGGCAGGGCTGAGTGGGGATGGCCCACCTGTCTCATCAGAGCTCCGTGTTATTAAGTAAATGCGCTGAGGGCTCCTGTGGGCCTGGCGTTGGTCAGTTCTAGAGACACACAGAGGTGGATAGGCAGAGGTGCCTTCGGTGTCCCGGGGGATGGTGCAGCCACTCCGAGGAGTGCCGGGCCAGGGAGTTTCACAGAGGCCCGTGCAGCACAAATGCCTTCACAGTTTGGAACAGCTCCCAGCTAGTTTCCTCACCTCCACATTGTCCCCCCGCCCCAAAACTCTCTGCTTAGGGGGGCAGATCCCAGGGGACCAATATTTAAGAGGAAGGACCAGCATCGGTTTGGCTCAGTGTATAGAAGGTCGGCCTGCGGACTGAAGGGTCCCAGGTTCGATTCCGGTCAAGGGCATGTACCTTGGTTGCGGGCACATCCCCAGTAGGACATGTGCAGGAGGCAGCTGATCGATGTTTCTCTCCCATCAATGTTTCTAACTCTCTATCCCTCTCCCTTCCTCTCTGTAAAAAAAAAATCAATAAAATATATTTAAAAATAAAGAAAAGAGGAAGGAAGAAGAAGGGGACCCAGTAGGTTAGACCAAGTAGAAGGAGTCAGAGAGGTAGAAAGTTGGGGAGAGATGTGCCCATGTCTACAACTCATCCCCAAACTTAGCAACTTCAATTCCTCAACTCACATGTTTCCGGGGGCCAGGCATCTGGGAATGACTTAGCTGGGCGGTTCTGGCTCACACTCTCAGGAGGTTACACTCCAGCTGTCTAGTTTGTTTTGCGAATCTTCAGTTTGGCTCATCAAAATGAAAAATGAATTAAAACAGGACCCACGGTTTGCACTAGCTTCAGGCTTAGCACACCCCGGTGCTCACGGTGTATCTTCACGAGGTTCTCTCTCTCTCCTTTGCTTGGCCCTGCTTCCCTCTGACTCATTTCGGGCAAGTCATCCCTCACCTGCACCCGCTCCCAGCCATGAAGGTGGCTGCTGCGCTGCTTGGCTCCCCTGGCCGAGCCGGCCCCTCCAACGTAAAGACTGCCTTTTCCCAACGGAGCCAGCCACACTCCCCAGGATTCATCTGTGCTGGCCCCGTGTGTCTTAAGCATGACCTGCCCAGAATGGATCATCACGACTCTGAGAGCCAGGGGGTGTGACAAAGAGGGACGTTCCCCAAAGCAAAGGAGCAGCACTGTCCCCAAAGGAAGGAGGTGTGGGTGCTAGGCAGGGAGACACAAACAAGGGCGACTCCTGCGTCCCTTGTGTGCATGGAGGAGCTTAATGGACACCCCCTTCTCGCTAGGTTTCGATCGCATCGAGAACTTGGAAGAGTACACGGGGCTGCGCTGTCTCTGGCTGGAGTCCAACGGGATACAGAAAATCGAGAACCTGGAGGCCCAGACCGAACTGCGTTGCCTCTTCTTGCAAGTGAACTTGCTTCATAAAATCGAGAACCTCGAACCCCTGCAGAAACTGGATGCCCTGAACCTCAGCAACAATTACATCAAGACCATTGAA